CACAGATACATTTGCCGGCGAGAATGCTGAAAAATAATGAAAAAAAGAGTGACGGCCAAGTTGGAAACGCGGAGAGGGAAATGTCTACGGAATTTTCTGCGATGATTGGGAGAAGGGAGAGGCCGCGCATTTTCCCGATGCGCCGACCTGGAAAATCGCCGCTAACTCAACTACCATCGGACACTAATTATGAGATTTCGAGTGTATCGAGTAACGAGGGATACTTTCGAGGAGAGACGCGATCGATCTGGAAAAGTTGGGATAGGTATACCGACGTTCAGGGAAACAGAAACTACTTTTCAGGGAGAAATGGGGAAATAAAAACGCAGTCTTTCACGAATATATAACTGCATAGCAAAGTGCATGTAACAATTTCATGAAAGATGCAATTATTATATTTTTAAATATATTTTAATATATTAACGATTGCAGCTTTGAAAAATATTATTGTACATATGGATACAATATTTAATAGTATATTGTGTATCAAGTGCGGAAAGTTGACAATTGGTCACGAGTGCAGGGGATGGACGCACGAGTCGAAGGCGAGTGCGATCACCCCACACTAGTGAACAATTGTCAATCCGCACGTGATACACATACTATTTTGTATTACAAGTGCAGGCAAAGTGGCTTTGTGCGCGTTTTCTGTGCGCGAGGTGGTCGATCGCACGTCGCCATCTTGCGGCGGCACGGTGCGGGAATAGCCGTGTTCAAAGTCATTGTCCACGGCTGAAGCCGTGGGCAATAACTTTAAACGCGGCTCAACCGTAGGCAATGGCTTTGAACGCGGCTTATTTACTCACCGCGTCGCCACTAGATGGCGGCGTGGGAAATCGGCCGCTTTCCGCACAGAAAACACGCACACAAAGTGCCACTTTGCCTGCACGTGTAATACAAAAATATTTATATATTATATATTATATAGCTATATTATAATATTATTATATAATTCCAATATATATATATATATATATATATATATATTATATATATAAATTCAATATATTATAATATAATTTCAATATTAATTGTATACGAAATTTCAATATTAATATTACGTAAACTTGCATATATGAAAAATAAAAAATAAAATTTGAGTATCAATATATCGCTATAAAAAATATTTAAACACATGTACATTTAACTGCGGACATGTTTTGGCAAAAGAGCATAAATATCGGTAGTTTTCTTGAACTTTCCGCCGCTAATGCAAGGTGCAGACTTTTCAATTTTCTCATCTTCGGGGTCACCGCACTAAAACGCGTAAAGATCGCGGATCCAATACCATTAGAGCTCTTGTACGCAACATATTCGCGCGTTCGGCGAACGCACGGGGCTAAAGTGCGGCGGGCGAGTTATGGGGGCTGTGCTCCGTAGGGCGCGTCGGATGTGCCATGGGATCACCATAAGGCGGGATATTTCGTGAGACTGTCTATACGTAGTTGACGCCGTGTCGGTGCGACTGTGTATAGGACGCTCGTTTCGTCCGCTGGGAATTTCGACGGATCACCCGTTATATATCCGGTGAGGGGTTACCGGGCGAACGACTGGAAAATAATTTGCAGTTCCCCGCGTTTGCTTTTTTTTCCCTCTCTCGTGGGGAAAATGACCAGAGACGCGAGAATATACGCGAGAGATGCCCTTTTTTCGATGATTCCCTTGTAATTCCCGGCATTTGTTATTTCTATCTCCTTTTGCCGCCGGCGTCGGGAATCTGCGCAAATACTTTACAAAAGTATGAAGTTTTCTATGGCTATAGGATAAGCGTAACAAATAAGAGTATATGCGAGCACAAAAAGGTGATTTTTATGTCTAAAGATGTATTTGATCAATAATGCAAAATATTAGTTGTTAATATTGAAATTTAATATATCGTCAAATTATTTTATTATACATTTTATTATATAAGTTCAAATTATATGGCCTTATTGTGCACTGACAAAAATGATTCAATCAATAAATATTTATTTCAATACATAAATATTTATCTGTTTTGAAGAGGATTTTTTATATCAAATAAATATTTTTCACACCAAATCAATATTATTAGTTTCCAATAAATGATTTATTAGGCAGTGTTGAAATAAATATTTATTCAAATTCAATAAATTCTTTTTCAGTGTAATAAAATTATTATACATGAGAAGATTAAAGGAAAGGGTAGTGTTGGCTCTTGTAACTTAACGCGATATTTATAAATATTTTTCACATCAAATTAATATTATTAGTTTTATATAAAAATGATTTATCAGGCAGTATTGAAATAAATATTTATTCAAATTCAATAAATTTTTTTCAGTGTACCTATGTAAAAGGGTGCATCTTCAGAGACGCGACAATAGCCTGCGTGCTATTATATAATAGGGAATAATTAAAGCCTCGATTTTCTTATATCAAATAAATATTTTTCACACCAAATCAATATTATTAGTTTCAAATAAATGATTTATTAGGCAGTGTTGAAATAAATATTTATTCAAATTCAATAAATTTTTTTCAGTGTACCTATGTAAAAGGGTGCATCTTCAGAGACGCGACAATAGCCTGCGTGCTATTATATAGTTGGGAATAATTAAAGCCTCGATTTTCTTATATCAAATAAATATTTTTCACACCAAATCAATATTATTAGTTTCAAATAAATGATTTATTAAGCAATGTTGAAATAAATAATTATTCGAATTCAATACATTTTTTTTAGTGTACCTATGTAAAAGGGTGCATCTTCAGAGATGCGACAATAGCTTGCGTGCTATTATATAGTTGGGAATAATTAAAGCCTCGATTTTCTTATATCAAATAAATATTTTTCACACCAAATCAATATTATTAGTTTCAAATAAATGATTTATTAGGTAGTGTTAAAATAAATATTTATTCAAATTCAATAAATTCTTTTTCAGTGTAAAAAATTATTATACATGAGAAGATTAAAGGAAAGGGTAGTGTTGGCTCTTGTAACTTAACGCGATATTTATAAATATTTTTCACATCAAATTAATATTATTAGTTTTATATAAAAATGATTTATCAGGCAGTATTAAAATAAATATTTATTCGAATTCAATAAATTTTTTTCAGTGTACCTATGTAAAAGGGTGCATCTTCAGAGACGCGACAATAGCCTGCGTGCTATTATATAGTTGGGAATAATTAAAGCCTCGATTTTCTTATATCAAATAAATATTTTTCACACCAAATCAATATTATTAGTTTCAAATAAATGATTTATTAAGCAATGTTGAAATAAATAATTATTCGAATTCAATAAATTTTTTTCAGTGTACCTATGTAAAAGGGTGCATCTTCAGAGACGCGACAATAGCCTGCGTGCTATTATATAGTTGGGAATAATTAAAGCCTCGATTTCCTTATATCAAATAAATATATCTCACACCAAATCAATATTATTAGTTTCAAATAAATGATTTATTAGGCAGTGTTGAAATAAATATTTATTCAAATTCAATAAATTTTTTTCAGTGTACCTATGTAAAAGGGTGCATCTTCAGAGACGCGACAATAGCCTGCGTGCTATTATATAATAGGGAATAATTAAAGCCTCGATTTCCTTATATCAAATAAATATTTTTCACACCAAATCAATATTATTAGTTTCAAATAAATGATTTATTAAGCAGTGTTGAAATAAATAATTATTCGAATTCAATAAATTTTTTTCAGTGTACCTATGTAATAGGGTGCATCTTCAGAGACGCGACAATAGCCTGCGTGCTATTATATAGTTGGGAATAATTAAAGCCTCGAAGGGGTCTTGTAACACGCGCGTGATATCTTGTCGCCGCGATACCGAAACGCGAGTTGTATGTAATCAGCGGTATTAGCTCCTGTCGTGATACAGTAATTTCCTGAATTGTCAAACGCGCTGACAGTTGGATACTGTTACAGGCGCAACGTATAGATAACTGAACGCATAATGCCCGGTAATGGAAAAAGCGTCGTTATCAAAACTACGATTTGCGTAATCACGATAATACTGATATTATCGTTTCATTTTATTACAATCTTATATCGCATATATAATGATAAAAATAACACAAAATTAATTACACAAGGCTCTTTTTGCCTAAGTAATTATATTGTTAAAACAGAATCGTTTAAACTATATATTTTATATAACGACATGAAATTAAATATAATTAATGAAGCCTCTTTTTGTGTAAATAATTATTAATAAAATATAATAATCGGCGTTCAAACTACATATTTTATATACATAATAATAATATGATACGTAGATGATATATGTAATTACATACACACATATATATATATATATATATATGTGTTTGTATAAAAGGCTATGGAATTGAGAGATTCGCGAGGGAAGGCAGGAATTTCATACGAGGCGATCGGCATCGAGATATCGTAACATCCGTTTAATATCGGAGGAGCGAGGGATGGATAGAGGGGAGAATCGCTATAGCAGGCAGATTTTAATCCTTGTCGTACCAAAAGAGGGAAAGGAACGACGTTGAAGTGACTTGAAGTCTCTTCAGGCGAGATGCTTAATTCCACCCTGTTCTTCTGTAACTACCCTTCGATGACTTCCCTTTCCCTGTTTTGCACCCTCGGAAGGATGATCCTGCGTTCTTTAGTTCCTATTCGTCGAATAGAACTGAGAATTGCATCTGAACGCAAATTTGTATCGCAAGTGAATCATACATATGTCAAATGAAATAATTAAAAAATGTGTAAAACGGACAAAATGTTATTCCTTAAAATTCATTAAAATGTATATTTTACGGGAATATAAGGAGAAACTTTAGCATGTATGTAAAGAAAATGTCGAATAATTTTGTGCGTACCTATATTTTTTAAGAATTGTCTTTCGAATCTCGTGTCAGAAGTAAAAATTAGATTAATTATCGCAGTTATAATTGTTATGATTGAAATGAGGATTTGAACACGAATTAGAAACAAGAATCCGCAAAACGCGCGAAAGTAATTCCGTGTCGGGGCAGAAAGGATTCAAGATGGTGCGTGATACGAAGAACAAGGATCCCTTGGAATATCCCGAAGGAATCAGACGGGATTTTGTCGTCTCGAAATCGTATATCATTTCAACCGCGAGACGTTCGTATTTCTGTGTATAGCTGGCGATAAGCGTTATTAGGTCCTCGGAGATTTATGTTTCGCTTTGGCTAATTACGCGAATATCGCACACAAACCGCTGATGGACGAAAATGGATCATTAGTGTGAACATCGATATATATTTTAATCCGCCACATTGTTTCCAATTACACGGCAAATCCCGCTTATTAAAAGCCGGTGTGTGTATTCCACAATTGCTGTCACAATAAAATTAATTACATGCCGACTTAATCGCGCCGACTGAGCCAGATGCGTTAACATTTACATTACATTACACGATAATCAAGTCAGAATATATATCGATTATTGTGTACCTTCGCTCATCAAACACACGTACGATCGCACAATAGTTCACACACAAAGCTGTCAATACGTTTGCTGATCAATTTCCTGGTATATGGGAAGTATCTTTTTCAAAAATATCTACGAGCAATAAATAACTAGAGGACGAGCAGGAGAAGAAAAAATATAATAAATTTGAACAAACAAAAAATGTAGAAAGATATATAAAAAAATTACAATAAAGCGTAAGTCATTTTTTTAATTATATCTAATTTTTTCAAATAAATAAATTCTATGCTTAAAAAAAATATATTTATCCCCGACAGTTCTATCTCCAAATGATCCCAAAAGAGGATAGATTTTTCTGTATTATTATTTCGCGAGCTATCACTTACCGTCAGCATCGGCAGCAACGGAAAGCGGAAATCGATCCCACGGTGACAGAAATCGAATGATATCGAATCGCGCGGATGCGAGAAACGCAGAAACATTCGGTGACTAAACGTTTATAGGCACTTAGGGCAACTTTTCCTCGCGCAACGCTATATGAATAAGTGATAAAGCCGCGATGGAGGATGAGGGCGAGGTCCGTAGTATAAATTCCAGGAGGTTGTCCTGCCCCCGGGCTTCTCTCCCCAGGGTACACCACACCCTCAAAGCAGCAGCATAAGGGTTATACTTGATAGATACGGCCCGGCTAAGTGCTTATCGTATTTCGTTTAGACGCCGCCACACTCGGAGTTACAACGATCGTCCTTGTGAACGCACCCTTAAGAGCATCACGCGCTTAAAACTCGCTCGAGCCTCGAAGTCGACTTCCTCCATCTAAAATTTCGAGAGCGAGGAATAAAAATTCCCGCCACGACGCAATTCTTCCAAATGCAAAACGCTAAGCGATCTGAAACGTTCTACGTTGCTTACAATGACGAGGAAAGTTAACGTTGCTTTCATTTTCTAAGCGGAAGATACATTTCCGTAATTTACTAGTGTTTCATCAAATTGTCCAAATAATCGAAATTATCAAAAATTATTGGAATAATTTATTTGATTAGAAAATATGTAATACACATTTTTTTTTATTATTGATTGTTATATAAAAATCATGACGTGTTATGAAGACGTAACCCAACCTAATCTGTGTAACTTCAATATATTATATATATATTTAGATTATGTAGAAAATTATTTATTGCAAAATAATCGAAATTATCAAAAATGATTGGAATAATTTATTTGATTAGAAAATATGTAATACACATTTTTTTTATTATTGATTGTTATATAAAAATCATGACGCGTTATGAAGACGTAACCCAACCTAATCTATATAACTTTAATATATTATACATATATTTAGAGTATGTAGAAAATTATTTATTGCAAAATAATCGAAATTATCAAAAATAATTGGAATAATTTATATGATTAGAAAATATGTAATACACATTTTTTTATTATTGATTGTTATATAAAAATCATGACGTGTTATAAAGACGTAACCTAACCTAATCTGTGTAACCTCAATATATTATACATATATTTAGATATGTAGAAAATTTATGCAAAATAATCGAAATATTAAAAATGATTGGAATAATTTATATGATTAGAAAATATGTAATACACGAATCATACGTGTTATAAAAATAATCTGTGTAACTTCAAATATTATTATATATAGATTATGTAGAAAATTATATTGCAAAATAATCGAAATTACATTGGAATAATTTTATTTTATTATTGATTGTTATATAAAAATCATGACGCGTTATGAAGACGTAACCCAACCTAATCTATATAACTTTAATATATTATCCATATACTTAGATTATGTAGAAAATTATTTATTGCATATATTTTTCTTGTGTCTGTATAATATATATGTTCGGTTTGGATTTACGAAGATCTTACTATTATTATCAGTGATTTATTAATTTTGACGCGTTACGGAACAATATACGTTCGTAAAATAGCGCGCTGCGGAAAGTAACGCGACACGGTGATGAAGACGAGAATAGCGAGAGACATGCACCGGGGCAGAAAGAGAAAAGTATCATGGAAATCGAAAACCGTCCCGGAACTCGTTAAATACGAGCTCGCGTTGCCTACAAATTTATTTCGGATTTGGCGCCGCGACAAGACAAAGGAAGAGAAATAAAACGGGACCGAATCCGGGAATATCGGAGAGAGAGTAAGGCTCATCCGAGATCGAAGGTACGTTATGGCATACGTATACCCTTTCGACGGTCGTATGGCGGCCTTAAGGGATAAGGCTTTCTCACCTTCGTTCCGAAAGAAGAGTCGCGTCTTTAGTTTTGGCGTCTCGCTCTTATTACGGCCCACTGGGGGCCCCATTAAAATGCCTGAAATTGTTTATCGTCTGGTCCCCTTCCCTACCTCTTGTAATATCTGCTGTAAGTTATTGTCTCTCACTCTCTCTCTCTCTCTTCTTTGCCGGATTTCGCAAGAGAATAACTTGTAAAATTGGAGACTTTTTGCAACAAAGCTATGCCGATATAAATGTAGTTTTGGCATTTATTCTATCCGTTTCAGTCGCGTTAATAAAGGCTATTCTGAATTATTCCGACAGCATATGTCGAATACGGATATCATGAAAAATTGACGACGATTTCGTGCGATCGGCCATCGATCGGCCGCCTCCATTAACGCGCTGTGGCCAAAGTTGCGTTCGCCCGCGAATTCCCGAATTCCCTTTGCGCGCTACTTAAATCCACGTGAGAGCGAATTCTATCAATTCTCGCTCTCGTACGAATCGCATAATGGTCGAAAGAGCTTATCGGTTATTAATGAAGTGATTAATGTCGCGTATTGGAGAACGGGAGAGTGGGAAAGATTAATTGATCGTTCTAATGGATCGTTAGTCCCGTGCGAAAATTAACGAAACTCGCGAGTCTTCGATCGCGTCATCGATCACAATGAGAATTAATTACGAAAAAAAGCTTCGCTTTAAGATTTGGTTGAAAAACATTTTTTTATTTATAACATTTTATTTATTTGTAACACTCATTTACAGCATTTTCTATGTGTAATTCCATGTTCAGTGTGATATTTTTAATTTTGAAAATAAGAATATAAGAATAGAAGATTAAAGATTGTATGATTATATGCAATTTCATATGAAACGTCATATTCTTATATTTTTATTATATTTCTTATATTCTTATATTCTTATTTTCAAAATTAAAAATATCTCATTAAACATGGAATTACACTTAAGATGTGCTAATAATGTATAAATGCTATAAAATAGTGTTATAAACAAAATGGATAAATGTATATAAAATAAAGTTCTAATAAAGTAACAGTACTAAATTAAATGACAAGTGATGTTTGCATAAAAATAGTAATTTTACCTATATCTTTACATTGCTATGTATTTTCGCTTGAAAAAATATGTAAAAAATCGCAGTGACAGTTAAATAATTTCTTCAGTTTTGAACAAGCAATTTTCACGTAAAAGCACATGGATTTTTTGTTTCCAGTGACGTTATATGTCTCTTTCGAGCGTAAAGTGAACGAGACATAAATAAATTAGAATTAATTACAAAAAAAGCTTTGTTTTAAGATGTGGTTAAAAAACATTTTTTTATTTATAACATTTTATTTATTTGTAACACTATTTTATAGCATTTATATTTACTAGCATTTTCTATGTGTAATTCCATGTTCAGTGTGATATTTTTAATTTTGAAAATAAGAATATAAGAATGGAAGATTAAAGATTGTATGATTATATGCAATTTCATATGAAACGTCATATTCTTATATTTTTATTATATTTCTTATATTCTTATATTCTTATTTTCAAAATTAAAAATATCTCACTAAACATGGAATTACACTTAAGATGTGCTAATAATGTATAAATGCTATAAAATAGTGTTATATACAAAATGGATAAATGTATATAAAATAAAGTTCTAATAAAGTAACAGTACTAAATTAAATGACAAGTGACGTTTGCATAAAAATAGTAATTTTACCTATATTTTTACATTGCTATGTATTTTCGCTTGAAAAAATATGAAAAAAATCGCAGTGACAGTTAAATAATTTCTTCAGTTTTGAACAAGCAATTTTCACGTAAAAGCACATGGATTTTTTTTTTCCAGTGACGTTATATGTCTCTTTCGAGCGTAAAGTGAACGAGACATAAATAAATTAGAATTAATTACAAAAAAAGCTTTGTTTTAAGATGTGGTTAAAAAACATTTTTTTATTTATAACATTTTATTTATTTGTAACACTATTTTATAGCATTTATATATTACTAGCATTTTCTATGTGTAATTCCATGTTCAGTGTGATATTTTTAATTTTGAAAATAAGAATATAAGAATGGAAGATTAAAGATTGTATGATTATATGCAATTTCATATGAAACGTCATATTCTTATATTTTTATTATATTTCTTATATTCTTATATTCTTATTTTCAAAATTAAAAATATCTTACTAAACATGGAATTACACTTAAGATGTGCTAATAATGTATAAATGCTATAAAATAGTGTTATATACAAAATGGATAAATGTATATAAAATAAAGTTCTAATAAAGTAACAGTACTAAATTAAATGACAAGTGACGTTTGCATAAAAATAGTAATTTTACCTATATCTTTACATTGCTATGTATTTTCGCTTGAAAAA